CCTAGACCGGTTTTAGCAAAACGGATTCAAAGGTACATTCATCATTATATAATTCATAAAAAAAAAAGTTAACTCTATGACGGATTTGATTTGTGGTAGCCTGGTAGGGACCAGCTTCGAAGTTGGCCAAAAAAGAAGAGATAACAACCAACATGAAATAAGCACCATCCATTATAAGTCAAAAACAAAAAACAAAATGATAAAGATGATTATATATGAATCACATACTTTAAATATCAGACACAGACGGCCCTAAACAAAGAAAGTCCAAGTACAATCTCCTAATACAAAATGTTCAATTTTTTTTTAAAAAAAAGTAGTTTTATTAAATTCAAATATTGAAAGGAATACTGTTTATTGAAAATAAACAATTAATAAGAACCCAAAAGAAACGTGACACATAATGGAAGCTGAGTTCTGGCTTTCCTTTCCTCCTCCATTAATCAAGGAATATATAAATAAGCTTTCTACGTAGTCTTCGAAATAAAGCAAATTAAAACACATTCTTGCATACTTTTACAAAACCCTCTTAGCCAAAATTTCTCTTCTTTTTTGTTTTTGTTTTTCTTCTCTGAGGAGAAATTAAAGATGACTATGTCGGAAAACCAAAGAAATCTTGAATCTGGCTTGCTTCTGAAGAAGAACCAAAACGACGTCAACGAGTGTCGTGTCACTCCGGTTGTGCTCTTTAGTACCTTCGTTTCTGTTTGTGGCTCTTTCTGCTACGGTTGTGCGGTTAGTAAAAAAAATCACTGATCTTCATCAGTTTCTCAATTCTTTAAAATGATGCAAGTTATGTGATTTATCATTTATGTGTATGGTGAAAATGAAATCTGAGATGAGAATATTATATTTGGGGTATGGATTTTACAGGCAGGTTATTCATCAGTTGCTCAAACAGGGATCACAACTGATTTAGGACTCACTGTTGCACAAGTAAGAAACCAACCATTTAATTTTATATATGATTCTTCACTCAAATTAAGTCTAGCTTTATCTCTTGCCATTTTTTTTTGTTTTTTGCTTAATTTCTCTCTGTTTTTACTACTTTAGTACTCGATATTTGGGTCAATCATGACCTTTGGAGGGATGTTTGGTGCAATCTTTAGCGGGAAAGTCGCAGATATTATGGGTCGAAAAGGGGTAATCTTTACTATTACTCTGTTCAAGAAACTCTACAAGTTTGATATTATGTTTCAAGATCATGTATTGATGATTTTCTGTTTGGTATCTTGAAACAGACAATGTGGTTTGCTCAAATTTTCTGCATCTTTGGTTGGCTTGCAATAGCATTTACAAATAACTCGATTTTGCTTGATGTTGGGAGACTATCCACAGGATTTTCAGTTGGTTTATTCAGCTATGTGGTAATGAATTTTTCAC